CTCTGCCCTAGCCTGTGAATCCTCACAGAGATTCCTATTTTCTGCCCCACAAAACGACCTCCCTGTGTCTGTGTCTCTAAGACCTGTGCAAATGTCCTGATACCCCTGAGGTGTAAAAATGAGTGTCTAGGCACCCCCATGGTGATTCTGGGTTGAACATTCAGTTTTGCTTCCAAGACTGTGCAGGGGCTATGAGTTGGGGTGTGGCAGTTTGGCCCTTGGGCCCAGGCTTGATTGTGGACCTTGGGGTCTTTCCATTTGGCTCCAGAAAAAATGCTCACCTTCTCTGGTATAAAGAAGGGGCACTGGCTTCTCTTCACTGGGCCATTTGTGGGTCAGGCAGTTCCCGTGTGTAAATGAGGTGGAGTATGGGCCTGCACCTAGAGTAGGCACTCAATCATAGGGGGTGCCATCTGATCTGTGACCAAGCAGAGGTGCCTAAGAGCACCATCCAGGCCTATCCTCACCCCATCCTTTGCTAGGGGCTGTTCTCCAGGTCTAAGTTCACCCAAAATCAAGGTAGAGGCCTGAGAAGGGAGCAATTTCAGTGGGGTGAAATCAGGAGTCCCCATTGCTGTTGACACAGGCACACCTCATCCACTTCTTTGGTCCGCAGCCTGCCTGGCCCCACCATCTGCTGGATGCTATCCTGACCTCCTCCCCATGACAGCCATGAGGTCTTCGGAAAATCTTGAATCAGACCACAGCCCTCACCTGCTCACACACCTTCCATAACTCCCTATTGCTGCCGGGTGCGGTGGGGCATGCCTGTCATCCCAGTGACTTGGGATGCCGAGGCAGGAGGATCACAAGTTCAAACCCAGCCTCAGCAACTTAGTAAGGCCTTAAGCAACTCAGCGAAACTCTGTCTCTAAATAAATTATAAAAAAGGGCTGGAGATGTGGCTCCGTGGTTAAGTGCCCCTGGGTTCAATTCCTGGTACACCCCCCAAAAAAAAGAAAACTCCTTGTTGTTCCGTAGTGCTCTCCATCACCCTGCCCCCACCTTCCCCCCAGCCTCTGTCTCCAGCTGTCTCAGCTTCACCTCACCCCGGACAAACCGACCTCGCCTGCTCCTGAAACCTGCCCAGCACATTCCCACCTTAGGGCCTTTGCAGTGCGATGATTCTGTCAGCCAGGCAGGTTGTTCCCATATCCCCACATGGTAAGGCCACTTCTCCTCAGAAAGGCCCTTCTGGACCCTCTGTCCAAAGTAGCTCCCTTCCCTGCCACTTGCCACAGCCCCTGCCTTTTGAATTTCTCCTGGGCCAGCCATCCCCCAGGTGCGGTTATATATCTGTCATTGCCTCCCCCACCATTCCAGCTAATGGGGAGCCCAGGCTCTGTCCACTCCCTGTTCCTGTGTCCATGACATTTCTGGGGGTAGACAGTAGGGACTGGGGATGCCCCAAAGTCACATCCCAGGGTTCCAGCTGGCTGCATCTTAGGGCTGCCAGGCTGTGGGCAGGATCCCTTCCGCCTAGCCCAGCACTGACAGATGTGCTAATTTCCCAAGCAGGGAGGCCTAGGCCTCTGGGGATGAATTTCTGGGGCCCCACAGGGAGATCTTTCTCTGGAACAAAGAGAGGGAAATCTTGGGCTGTCCCTGCAGCCGCCACTGAGGCTCAGGGGACATTGCTGGGGGCCTTTGGTGGCTCGGCTGTGGGACAGCAGGGTCAGGCTAAACGTGGTGTCTCTCCTGGATCCTCAGGAAGGTAAGATGGGGTGGGAGGATCCTCAGTTTTCAGTGACCTTGATGAAGGACAGGCCTTCTTGGCAGGTGAGCATGCCTGTGGCAGGCCAGGTTTGTGTGGGGAGACCTCCGGATGTGGTTTCCACTCAAGCTGAGTAGTGGGACCTCCAGAGGGTCGGTTGCTTGGCCCATCTAGTTGGTGTTGTACTGTGAAAACTTTTCAGAGCAGGGGTCTCAAACTTGTGGCCCACAGGCCATATGGGGCCTTCAGTTTGTTTTGTGGGCCATGAGGTGTTTAAAAGAAAACTGAGCAGCTTGGGAGGCTGAGGCAGGAGGGTCACGAGTTCAGAACCAGCCTCAGAAATTTATCTGAGCAACTCAGTGAGACCCTGTCTCTAAATAAAATATAAAAAGGGCTGGGGATGTGGCTCAGTGGTTAAGCGCCCCTGGGTTCAATCCCTGGTGAAAGAGAGAGAGAGAGAGAGAGAGAGAGAGAGAGAGAAAGAAAGAAAGAAAGAAAGAAAGAAAGAAAGAAAGAAAGAAAGAAAGAAAGGAGGGAGGGAGGGAGGGAGGGAGGGAGGGAAGGAAGGAAGGAAGGAAACTGAGGACTAGGGATGCAGCTCAGTAGTAGAGCTCTTGCCTAGCAAGGCCCTGGGGTCCATCCCCAGCACCACAAAAGCTGAACAAGTTACCAGTGTTTCTTCCGTTTGTTAAACAGTTGTTGCTCATTCATTCCAAGAAGGGTGATGGGGAAACTACAGGGGGCCAGGGATTGGGGAGGCTCCATCCCATCCTCACAGAGTAGGACATGCTAGTGTGGCCAGATGCTGGTCAAAGAAAGCAGCAAGGAATAAAAAAGATGATCAGACGTATAATCCCAGCTACTCAGGAGGATGAGGCAGGAGGATCACAAGTTTGACACCAGCCTGGGCAACTGAGCCAGACCTTGTCTCAAAATAAAATAAAAAGGGCTGGGCATATTGCATATGCTTGCCTAGCACATTCAAGGCCCTGGATTCCATCCCCAGCACCATGGGGGGTGGGGGGACGGGAAGTCCTGTAGGGTGAAGTGCTGCAGGTTTAGTTGAATCCCACCTGGGGAAGAGGGTGCTTTTAGGAGGAGGGATTTCTGCAGGTCATGTCGGCTGTGCCTGGGCAGGGCTGAAAATGGTGTTGAGAGACCTGGGCAAAGGGAAAGTGATGGGAATGTGGCAGGTCTGTTTGGGGCCGGTGTGTCATGTGCTCCAAAAGGGGCAGAAGGTCAGCTGAGGTTGGGGGAGAGGTGGATGGGTGCTTGGGAAGTGTGCAGGGGCCTAGTGTACACATGGGGAAACCAAGGCTCCAAAAGAATAAAAAAAAAAAATGAGCATATGGTAAAATCAGGATTGGAACCTTGGGCTAGGGTTGTGTTCTGCATGCAAGAGATCCTGGGTTTGGTTCCCAGCACAGGGCTAGAGCCATAGCTTAGTGGTAGAGTGCTTGCCTAGCCTGCACACGATCCTGGGTTCCATTCCCACCACCGCAGATAGATAGATAGATAGATAGATAGATAGATAGATAGATAGATAAATCCTCTACACAGAAGGGGAAAAAAAAAAGAGTTTGAAAGCTGTACTGACTGGCCCCACAGCCCCAGCTGTGACTTCCCAGTGCATGGCCACACTGGGCTCCTGGGGCACAGTGTAAGTACTGCTTACTGAGGGTTCCTGCCCCTCCAGCAGGAGTGGTCCAGGGAAGGAGTCTTGGGTATCCCCAACTGGTTCTAAATTTTCCTATGAGTACATCTGTGCTCCAGGGTCCCATGGCCTTCTCTAGCTTGAACATTCTTGGATTTTGGGGTTCAGAATCCCTACCCTCAGACCTCAGTCCCCTGCTTAAAGAAGAGGTGGGAAGGCCCACCTGTGTCCATGTCCTAGGGGACCAGCATGGATTTTAGGGGTCTGTGTTCGGGAGAGTCTGAATATGTCTTGGCCTCTGCATGTTGTGGGGGGAATCTGTATGAATCAGGTGTCTACATGCATTTAGGGAACTCTTTATGTCTGGGGGTCTGTTGTATTTGGGGGATTGACTTGTTGGGGGGGCCTATGTATGTCTGGGGTCTGCATGTACAAAGGGATCTGATTATGTTTTGGGGATTTGTGTTTGGATAACTATGTGGGTTGTTTTGGGGGGCGGTCTGTGTGTAGTGTGAGCTGTGTTTTGAGGATTTTTTTTTTTTGTAATGGGGATTTAACCCAGAGCCATTCTACCACTGAGCTACACCCCAGCCCTTATAATTCTGGGGTTTTTTTTTGGGGGGGGGCAGGTCCTAGGGACAGGATCTACAGACAGGGTCTACAGACAGGGTCTCACTGAGTTGCTTAGCACCTCACTTTTGCTGAGGCTGGCTTTGAACTTGCTATCCTCCTGCTTCAGCCTCCGAAGCCCAGTGCACCACTGAGCCTGGCCTTTAATTTTTATTCTGAGACAGAATCTTGTTAAGTTTCCCAGGCTGGCAACTTACAGTCAGATTTGCCATCCTCCTGCCCTAGCCTCCCGAGTCTCTCTTGAGTGGCTAGGATTAAAGGTGAGAGTAACCACCCCTGGCTTGAGGTCTTCTGTAGGCAGAGATCCTTATGTGTTTGGGAATAAAAGTGTTTGGTGGATCCATCGTTTAGAGCCTCTGTATATTCTGAGGGGCTCTGCGTGTTTGGGGTCTCATTTTGTCAGGGAATCTCCCCCCATTCTGTCCAGACTGAGGGATAATCTTAATCTCTCTTCCCTCAACCCCACCGCCTAGAACTGCTTGAGGGCTTCACTCTGCTCTGGACCCTGGAGGGCTGAGGAAGACTAACCCAAAGCCTCCTGGAAAAAGTCACACCCAGAGACCTCAAGATAGCCCAGAGTCTCCCCATCTTCTGGGGAGGAAACTGAGGCTTCAGGGAAAGCGCTGGTTGAGCCCACACTCTCCCCAAGGGCACCTGCGGGGGGCCATAAGGACCCAGTGGGCTGATGCAGGCCCCCGGGTCACCCCGGTGCTCCCCAACGCACCTGGGCATCATGTCCCCAGGTTCCCAGGGGAGAAGGCGGGTCCAAGGCTCAGGCTGGGGAGGCAGGGTCGCCGCCAGCAGCTGGGGTCGGAGCTGCTCTGGCCCCCAAGAGAGGGGAGGGGGGGTCCTGGCTTTCCAAGGGGCTCTTCCTGTCACCCGTAATGAGGTACTTGGGGAGCAGGTGATGAAACCGCTGCTGGGGTTGCGTGAGGCGGGGCCTCCGGCCTGATTCGTCGCGGCGGCCGGAGCAGCGCCCCCTCCCCGCTCCGCCGCGTCCCGCGGGCCCGCGCCTCCCCCCGCCACCCACCTGCCTCTCACTTCTCCTTTCCCGGCCTGGGTCCCCCGCTGATCTGCGGTCTCCTCGCGGGCTCAAGGGTCTGGCAGACTGACTCTGCCATTCGTCCCCCCACTAAATGCCCACTGGGAGCCGAGAAGGGGAACTCGTTCCTGACCTGTGCTCTGCTCTCAAACCCTCGCTGCAAAGCCTCTGAGGTCACGATCCTGTGACCCATTTTACGGGGGAGGAAGTGGGGGATTGATGCCGCGAAGGCTGTCACCGTGGCCTTGCGAGACGGCACGCTGACTCAGCGTCCCAAGTTCCAAAACTGGCTTCTGGGAAGGAAGGAGACAAGGTCAAGAGACCCGTCCCTCCGCCCCACCTCCTCCCAGCTGATGGGAGAAGGATTCGCAGGCTCATTTACAGGTGAGAATCCCGAGCCCTCCAGCGAGGAGAGGCCCAAGGCGAAGGGTCAGTGGCAGGGTGGGATGCCTTCCAGTGCCCCTCAGTCTCCATCACCTGGGACAGATGCCTGGCCAACCTAGGAAGGTGACAGTCTATGACCTGAAGAAGCTCAGGGTGTTTGTGGATTGATTTAGTAACCACAGACACTACCACAGAGAATTTATGATGTTCAGGTGTTCCCGAGGCCCTCCTTCATCTCCCACCCCCACCCACAGCAGTGCTCAGCTCTGGACCCTGACTCTTCTCTCCTACCCAGGCATGTGCTTCCAGCTCTTCCTTTGGTCAACCAACAATTAGTCCATTATTGCCCACTTACCGACCCTACTTCTGTCCAGACTGCGTGTTTCCCACAGGGACCTCTGCCCAGCCTTTCCCTGTCACCTCACTCCTGCCTGGACAGACACTGGTCCCTATGGTAGCCATGAGCAGGAGCAATGGGCTTTAAATGTGTGTGTGTGTGTGTGTGTGTGTGTGTGTTTTACGTGGGCTTCAAGCATGGTAGGCAGGTGCTGTACAACTGCACTACATCCCCAACTCTTAAAAAACCAAAAACAAACAAAAAAAAATTTTTAGTTAAGATAAATCACACTAAACAAAATGTACACATTCACTGAAGTAAAGCTCAAAATATTTGCACGACGGGACACATCTGCATACTGACCCCAGATCAGGAAGCAGCACATTCCTAGCCCCCAGGATTTCCACATTGGGTGAATGTGGACTGTTTAGGAACTGGGTGTAAATGGCATCTCAGCACACATCCCCTCCGTACCGTCAGCACAGTCGGTTTGGATTCACCATGTACTTTCATGAAGCTAGAGCGTGCGCTTTTTCTATCTACAATGTCACGGTCCATTGTAGACTCTACCAGAAAATATTTACTGATTCTCCTGTTGAGGGCATTTGGGTCATTTCCAGTTTGGGGCTGTGATGCATAAAATTGCTGATTCTTGTCCTGTGTCCTCTGGTACAATACGGGCCCATTTCTCTTGGGTGAATACTGAGGAGAGGGTCATCACAGAGGCATCTGTTCAGATTAAAAATACGCCTGACAGGTTTCCAAGTAGTTTTACCTCTTTCCACTCCCAGTGAATGAGAGCCAGAGGAACTTCTTTTCCCCCTTGAAGGAACTTTTTAAAACCATACAAAGCATCGAGGCATAGCTCTGTGGGAGAGCATGTGTTTAGTATGAGGTCTTGGGTTCCACCCCACAACTAAAAAAAAAGAAAAGAAAACCACAAAACTCCCCTTCTCCCAAACTCTATGGCTCTCCATTGCACTCAGAGTAAAGCCCCCTCTCCTCCCGGCGGCCCATGGACCCTATGTGTTGTCACCACTGCAAATCTCGTCACACCACCCCCCTCCATTCTTCCTATCTCTCACATCACCTTCTTTGACTTACTCATTAACACCTCCAGGTCTTTTTCTTTGCAATTTGTTTTGCGGGATCTTTCCCCTGATCCCATGACTGTTTACCCCGTTCTTTGGTTGTCTCTTTCTCATGCTTGTGTCTCAGTTCAGGGGGTGCCTTCTGCTGCCCCTGGCAAATGTAACCCCTATCACGGCCAATACTTTTCTTTTTAGACTTACTCAGGTTTAAACATAAAGGAATTTCATAGTTTCATAAAACGACTTTAACAGCTCCCATCTATTTCAAAAGTCTAAATTAGTTTAAATAACACTGGGCTCGTCTGTGCATTGAGGTTCAATGAAAATAATTGTAAAACCATTGGAGCCTGGTGCTTTTTTTTTAAGATAGAGTTTCTCAGCGGGCGAGGTGGCTCACACCTGTAATCCCAGAAGCTTGGGAGGCTGAGGCAGGAGGATCATGAGTTCAAAGCCAGCCTCAGCAACCCAGTGAGGC